CCCATGTGACAGGCAGCAAAAAGTGAAATCGGGATGAACCCAAGTTAGTTCATCTGTTTAGGCAAAGACACTGTGATCATTTCCCATGGAGGACAGTTGTGATGTTCCATCTCATTCTGATAAGTCAACAAACTGAAGAGAGGGGAGTTTTTAAAGAGCAGCTTAAATAAAAGATTTGAGTGGGATAAATATATGAGGAAAAAAACTAACAGCAGAATACATAGCAAGTACTGATAGGGGATCAAATGAGGGGGAGGAATAACTAGAGTTGATTTAAAACGCAGTATTTCCTTCCCTTAGGGGATTCTGCTATCTTCAGTATTTATCTTTGTCCTGAATTGGAGTTAAAAAAAATTTCAATTTTGTAGCAGAATGGAAGGTTATGAAAAATGCCAGATTTCAGAAGTGAGTTTTTTGTTTGTTTTTTGTTTGTTTGTTTGTGGTTTTTTTAGACCAGTTTGACTTTATACTATGTCTGCCTCCACTGCCTTTGATGAGACCTAGGAATTGCAGGTGTCCTCACTGCTGACCATGAATCATGCTCATTGGCCAAGTGGTTCTACACTGCTGAATCACATTCATATGTTTCCTACTCTGTACCCTCACAGATCTAGCAGCATGGAGACAGTATATGCCAGGATTTGCATGAGTGCGTGTCTCTTAGGAAGTGTAGTCCATCAAAGAGGCCCAGGTGATAGGGGCAATGAAAGCAGGAGCTACTTGAGCTACAAGTGTCATTTGGAATTATGGCAATTCAGGTTGATGCAGATCTATGTCAAAGTGATCCAAAATTTGACACAATCACAGATCTCAGTTGGTTCTGAATGACCATAACTCCAAGTGAAACATTTTATTTCATCATTTTTGATGGAAAAGTTTATTGAGGCCTAATGAAAAGAAAAGTAGCTTTTATATAGAGGTGGGACGTTTAGGTACCATTTTATAAAGTTCAGATTTGATTCAGCTGAGTTGTGAATATCTCCAAATCTGCATGTGTATTTTACCCAGTCACCAGCTGTAACTCTGCAATGAATATTTCCATGAAAGGGATATGTACTTATCTCTTTGCTGTTCTCTAGGGATGATATTTAATCGAGATAATTTGATGGAGAAAAGGCCTCCACAGTACTGTCTGTGAATTACTTTCTTCCTTGGCAGTATATAAAACACCAGCTCTAGGAGTTGCAAGTAACAGGAAAGAAAACAATTGGCTTTCTTCAGGTATCACGTTGCACAGATATCAGAAAGTGGTATTTGGTTTTCTTTTTAGCCTGTGAGCTAAACTGACTCTTGACATAAGAAATGGAAGTTATCAATGGATACAGAATAATGAATCGCGAATGGGTCAGAGTTGGTCCTTGATTTCAGCATTCAGCAAGCTATAGAGAATCCCATAGGAAACAAGGCCCATTTCTGGGTTTCCTTGTGGGGACACTGCTTGAAGTTGGTCGGCAGCAAGAATAGGAGAGTCAGGGAGGAGACCATTGACCTCCTTTTCCACCTCTCATTCCCTTCTCCCGTCTTCCTCCTTACCATCCCCCATGAGTCAGGGGACACTTGTATCACTAGGAGGTTAGTACCTATCTATTTGCTTAGGATTATAGTTTCTTAAGGTATCTGTACAAAAAGAGCTTGTCACTCTTGCTGCATCTCAGCTGTGTCAATATAGTCCTTTGTAAGTAGGTAGAATAGTTATATGAGTAAAGCATATGCATTTTCACTAAGCTTTATAAGAAAAAAAAGTCAGATACAGCTGAGTACGTGCATGTCCTCCATGGGGATATAAAATCATTATTATTATGAATTTCTTCTGTTCTTGGTTTTGTTGCTGGACTGGTTGATTTTGCTTTAGGATGAGGCAGGAGTAACCACAGCCTGGAATCTCTGCTTGCTGTGATATGTGGAGAAGGACATTAAAACATCATGCTGGGATATTTCAGTGAAAATGGAGATATAGTAAACTCTGACATGAAGTGGCTCTTTTTCCTAAGCATTAGAAAAGGAGTACTAAATTGTCTTAATAGACCACATTGTTTCAGTCTGCTTTCACAGACTGAAACCTGAGTTATGATGAAGTTGTTTTGTGACAAGTGACTCATCTTTTCATTCAACAGTAAATTAACAAAAATGATAAAACTGTTGCACAAAGAACAGGCTATACTTTTTCAAATGGGCTGTCGAATAAAAACTGTTAATGTTGCATCATCTCAGCTATTATGTTAATTTGTCTGTCTGTAGCTGTTTTAATTATTCTCCTGTATTTAGTGATATCCCATGATGGTGTGAATCCTTGTGGCCCTGTCCTGTGTATCTTGAGGCTGTTTTATTTCACAGTGACTAGTGGCTTCTCTACTTCCTGCAAACCTTACACTACCCTCCTTACGGCAAACAGGAAGGCAGGAGTAGCTGGTCCCAGTTTTGTGCAATAAAGTTTCCCATTCGCTATATAGTTTTGCTGATTTTGCTGATTAAACTATACAGATGATCTTCATTAAGAAGTTTTTTTTTTTTTTTTTTTAGGTAAGTCATGTTCCTAAATTCTTCTTCAGTAAGTGGCCCCTGACCTTCTCTTTCATGTTGGGCAAGTATTCTCCCTCTTACATGATCTCCCCCTTACTTCTCAGTTCCTGTCTCCTTGGCTGTGACCAGCTCACAGATGTGACAGATTTAGTCTAATTGCAGCTACCAGAGTTTTGTTTTATTCCTCCTTGCTAGGTGGCTATGGAGGATCTGCTCCTATTATAAGCTTCCTAGGCAGCGCTGCAGCTTGGATTTAAGAGGAAATAAGGAAAAATAAAAGGAGGGCTTTGAAGAGAAATATCAGAGTATTAGCAAAGCACCCAAGAGGAGTTGGAGAGGTGGCCTGACATTGCTCAGCTGCAACTTCATGCAAATATGGGGTAATTGAAAGTTGTTTTATAACTGTTTCAACTGCTAAATTTTAAAATTGGACAGCTTCCTAAAAAAGGTAGATGAAATGTCCTTCCTAAGAGGCTAGTGTTTCAGAGTATGAAGACTTTGGCAACGATACAAGACTAATGAATTCCTGCTTTTTCCTACCCCTGGCTTCTCATGCCGCCATTGTTTCACAGTGCCCTCAATGTTGCTGACATAACTCTTTGTCAAGCTGCATCATAAACTAGTTCAGAAAATTTATTTAATTCATGACTAATCCTATACCGAATTTTACATGTACATCTGAAGGGGCAATAAAAATATGAGATGAGTTGCTAAAGGTAAGAATTTCTAAAATTCCTAAAGCTGCTGCCATAGCCTCTGCATTTCACCAGTTTCATTACAGGAATTCCTGAGAGACCTTAAGCAGCCCAATGAAAGAGTACCATTAAGGGTTAGCAGTGATTTTCCTCTATGAAATGCAGTGCATTATTTGTTTTAGTCTTACCTTCAGAACTGGAGGATGTTGTAATTAAGGCTTGTAATTGGGCAGATTTAGTAAATTAATTGGCTCGGGCTCTGCCTCAGAGTTAAACTTCAGGTCTTGCAAATTTAAATGGATTAACCTACTATAAAGAAATTGTTCCTGTAGTGTAAGAGATAATCTAAGAGCTTCCATGTCAGTATGGACTTCTCTGGGCTATATAGTGGTTAGTGGCTGTAATAGCTTCTATGCAGCATTTGAGGGCTGGCAAACCTAGGAGAGCTTGTCAACCATCCACCTCACAATCAGCTGGGAAACCTGACAGTGCAAAGATGGCTTTCTTTTACTTTCTCTTCCAGTTCATTATTTGTCTGGAGTCTTTTATTTTGTAGATACTTCATTAATCTTGATTTTTTTTTTTGTTGCTGTTTCCAGTGGTGATCTACTTGTTCTATTAAATATTTAAGTTCTCTGTACCCTGCTAAGCACTAAGACTTCCTAACCTGAATTTGGATGCTGAAGCTTTCTAAACTTCTTGAAAAGCTAAAAAGGCCTAACTTTTATTTGTGAGAATAGATCATCCAGTCTCTTTTAATGTGATCTCTTTATGGAGTTTGAGTTTTGGGTACACAAGATCACTAGACTGCGTTCATTCTTCAGCCTTCAACTGCTATGTGAAATGTGCATCTTGACAACAGCCTTTTTTATTATACTTATTGTTAGAAGCGTTCAGCTATATCAAAGAATTTGGAAGTAAGTACCATCTAGATTTAGCATTTTTCTCCAGGTGTGAATCACTGCATCCCAGTTGCAGCTGTGGTTAATTTTCCCACTGGCAAAAGAATCACACTATATTTAGAGGCACGTTTTTTCCCTCTGTACTTATTTAGGACAATTTTTTTCCCTTCAGCAGGTTTTTTTTTTCGGTGGTTAAGACACTGATTCTTTGGTGTGTGCAAGATCAAAGAGGTTGGATGGGTTGGCAAAACCATTGAATCTCACAAAATACACATTGGGTTCCAGTGCCGATTAGAGCAGCCTCAGTGCATGGTTTTCTGTGGCTTCAAGCACCCTTCTGATGGCTGAGGATTCTCAGGAAATATTGTATCTCTGACCTCTACCTTTTTTCTCTAGTCATCCTATTGGAAAGAAGTTAAGAAAGGGAATTGACAACAATTATAACAGAGGGCTTCTGTAGACTGTGAGTACTTGGCCAGGAAGAATTCTCAGGAAGCCAAAGATGCTGACTTTCTGGCTGTTTTGCACTGCCAGGGAAAAAAGTTGCTCCTAAAATAAATTCTACACTACAGAGGTTTCAGGAAACAAAATATTGAGCAGAGAAAAACACCTCTCCTATTTCATTTTGCTTTGCGTTGGTAAGAAACAAAACATTACTACTTTTACACTATTAAACTGAAGAGGGGCAAATGACTGCTATTGCCTGTAAGAGAGTTCCCTATTACTTTTTTCCCTGAGGGGTGTAACTGAGTTGCAGTGTTACTCTGGGTGCCCAGTTTGGTTAATACCCCTATATTACAGGAGGTGTCCTGCCTTAAAGACTACTTTTTGGCAGCTCAGCATGTGTTTTGGCTGTTACTTCATATATTTGTTTTCTTTTTTTGTAGCATGCCTATAGTATGGACACATGGAATATATTATCTTCCTGTCTAATTAAGCTGTGTGTTTTAGATAAGAATTTCCAGCCCAGCAATCTGCATACTACTCCTTCAGCCCATCTTAACAGACCTCTGAAATATCACCCTAATCTGAACCAAAGATTGGTAGTAAAAATCCAAGACTGGGGTTATCCAGCAAATGTCACAAGAGTTTGGGCCAAGATGAATATTTTATATCTGAAGACATCCTTTGGTTTAGAGAAGCAGGGATTATGAATAGGTTATTTATTGAGATGTGACATGCCAGGCACACGTATTGTTACACATAGTCATTTGTGCATTTTTTCACAGCATCTAGGGGATTTGGGCTGCGAACAGACTCCTCAGGTGCAGCTGGATTCTGATCCCACATGCGACTTTCAATGCACTGTGAAGATCTAGAAACTGAAAGATCTGATTTAAGATGTGAATACTTTGTGATCTGCCTGACAGGAGTTTCATAACAGAGGGTTGCTAAGCCTATTCTGAACCTCAAAATTTTAAATGTTGGCTGATTTAAATACACAAAACAGAGAGATATAAGATAGAGACAGATTTCTTTGGGTAGCTTAGTGTAATTGAGCTAAAAGCACCTTGGTGGTGTTTCAGTTTCAGAACTAGTAACGTTGCCCGATATTTGTAAACTCGGCTTTGTCTCTAGGATCAGGAGGCCTTACAAAAATCTAGAAGCATATAATTTTATGGAAAATATAGTAGGAAATCATAACTAGGAAGAGAGTCATAAGTTTTTTATTTTTGATTATGTGAATAAATACTTCAGTTTAGAAGGAGCCTCAATGACTCATTTCCACTGTTACTTTTGATCAAACATTAGTGCTCATGTAGTCACAATACAGCTAAATACCTTTACCTTCCTTGGACCATAACAATTTCCAATTGCTATAAAGGCAAAAATCGCTTTCAAAAAATATCGGAAGTCACCAATGTTCTGTACTTGTACCTAAGCTTGAAATCACTGGGGCTTTATAGCACAGCATTTACTGCGACGTGTTGTATTAGCATTATGTAATGAATTAAGTGACTCATAACTATTTTGAAATATTGCATCTCTTGATATTGCTATCTCTGTCGGACATCAGTAGCTACATGTATGTTAACAGAAGGCTGCAGCCTGACAGAAAGGTGCCATGTTTTGGTGGACACCTAGCAGAAAGATTCAATGTTAGCACAGCTCATATGTAGATCAGGTGTTGCACTAGGAAAGTCTGGGAGCGCACCTGACTTCACTTTACAGACGTTATATGCCTTTAAACTGATATCAAACTTAAATAGATAGAAGATTTGGAACCAAAGTATCATTGAATTTCTTTTTTTCCATTCCCTCCTTGCACTTTGGTGTGCAGAACGTATTGGATGACATTCATACAGCCTAACCTTGCTCTTTTGATACTGCGCTTGATGTTTTATTCAGTGCTGAGCATTCTCTTGAACATGTATAAATGTACTTTGTCATCTCTCATCAGCTTCTCGTCTAAACATTGGAGAAAGGGGGGAAAAATTAGTCTCTGTATATAGAAAGGCAGACATTTTTTTTCTCTGCGCCAGTGTGTGCCAGGCAAGAGGCATTGTGCTATTTAGATTTTATTGTGTCTTTTTTCTGGAAAAGTATATTTCAAAGGCTTCCGGGCTGCAGAACTCCCTATAGCCTTGTTATCCAGAGCTGCTCATGTGCTGAGCAAAGTCCCTTAATGCAGCTTTCTGTAACTCCAGGGAATTCCCTTTGCTTTCCTCTTCCTGTTCTTCTGCCTTTATCTGAAGAGTAAACGTTTGTCTATCTTGGAGAACTTCAGAGAGAGAAGTTCACCGACAAGACTCCTTATCTTCTACAGAAACTGAGAAGATTTAAGGAGTGTGAGTATTTTCTTCCCAGTTTGAAAGAAGAAATAATACCTTTTAGTTTGGAAGATATGTTGATCTTCTAGTTTGACTTCTTTCACATATGATTACTATTTTCCTCATGAAACCATAGTCAGGACTGCTTGCTCTTAAATGACAGGAATAACTGCTTAACAAAAAAACCAGCAACTGAAGTGAAAGTGGAACCAGACTTCAGACAGAAATAGATGACTTCTTTCTTTTAAGACTTTCGCATGTATACGTTCGATGATATCAATGAAATTGTAGTACTGCAGCAGCTATTTTGATGAAAACAATGTATTTCACAACATTTATGGTCTTTCTTGCTGTTGCGCTCTTTGGCTTGTAAAATAGAAATTGCATCTCATCTCCATTATAATATGATCTAAACAACCTCGAAGAACTGCGGACAGCCCACAAAAAGAGCATCTTATTACTACCCAAAGTGGCTGCTTGGCACTGCATCATTAACTCTCACTCATTGTAATTCCCCTTGTTTCTAATCATGGTAATAATAGAATACACATCTGCTTTGTTTCTCTGGGGTATTTCAGAAATCATTAACTAATGTGTATAAAGCAATGTATGAGTAAATGCATTAATATAACAGAAAGCAGAATTTTAGAACACCATAAGCAGGGGATTAACATTGCTATGCAGTGTTTGCTATGACTGTGTGTTTGCTGTATTATTCATTTATGTATACAGATCTGGAAAAAATATTTTTACCACTATAGCTTGCAAGTGACTCAGCTGTGATCAGAGAGCTATTCTTATCGGTGCCATTACACTTGCACACTTGCTGCCAAAGGACGCAGAATACAGCAAAACTGCAGTATCTACTGGAGGTATACGTGTTTCAGAACATTGCATATATCCCTGTATCTTAAAACAGCATACGCAGGCTCACTTGACATTTGTTTTTTTAGTTCTATTTCCATTTTCTCATGCTCTTCATCCTGATAGAAGAGGGAGAGATATAATACCC